TGTATCTAATATTCTTTTTAAAGGATTCTTATTTCAACAGAACAACAGAGGGCCTTGTGTGTTTCTATTGATTGCTTTCAATAAAACTGAAGCAAAATACATTTTGATATAATGATATATAGTGTTATAGCCCTATCTTGGTATATTCATCTATTAATAAAATGTTACGGGTTAGACTTGTAATATTTACTGCTATAAAGCACCAAGGAAAATAACTACATTTACTTTCTAAATATTCTTTCTTACTTTTGGAAAGTGGAATGACCTTGAAATGCTTATGTATAAAAAATGAGGTGTCCAGAAAAAAAATAGTATTCCATCTGTTCCAGCCTCAGAACTGCATGTGAACTTAGTTGTTTCTTTTTAAAAATATATATTTTATTGATTTTTAGAGAGAGGGGAAAAGAGAGGGAGAGATTGGCACATCGATGACAGAGAAACATCAGTCAGCTGCCTCTTGCACGCCCCCTACTGGGGATGGAGCCCACAACCCAGGCATGTGCCCTGATTGGGAATCAAACCGGTGATCTCTTGGTGCATGGGTTGATGTGCAACCACTGTGCCACACCAGCCAAGCTTAGTTGTTCCTTAAAGCGATCCACCACCTTGAATGGGGATGTGTGTACCTGTGGTTGCCATAAGGTCTGCAATTGGTCTTTAGGGGAGTACATGAGGGACTGGGATGGGTAAGGGGCCGGGGGGCAAGGTAGGGGACACCTTTCTACTGGAAGGTGATTAGAGAGTCCAGCTAAGATGAGGGAAGCTCATGTCCCCATGGGTGCACTGGGATCAGTATAGTCTCTTATAGGAAGAGATGTTGGAGGTCACAGGTGTGGGTAACAGGAGAGGAAAAATGAAAGAGAGGCCAGATGGCTTGGCACAGATTGCTAGCTCCTATCAGTCATGGATTTACCTGGAATAGATCAAAAAGGCCCTGAACTCTCATGAGCCCAGGATGTAGGACCTTGAGATTGGGAGATTATCCTGGATTTCCCAGGGGGTCCAATCTTATCAGATGGATTCCTAAGAGTGGAGAACCTTTCCAGGCCATGGTCAGAGAGATGTGACTACAGAAACATGGTCAGAGAGATACAACATTGCTGGCTTGGGGGATGGAGGGTAGGGTCCATAGCTAAGAAAGGCAAGACACAGATTCTCCCCCTGAGCCTCCAGAAGGGAATGAAGCCTTGCAAAGCTTCTTGATATTAACCCATGAGACCTGTCCCAGACTTCTGACCTACAGGTCTGTAAGATAATAAATATCTGTTGCTTTAAGCCATCCAGTTTACAGTAGTTTATTACAGTTGCAATAGGAACCTAATGCAGCAGTAGAGAGCTGGACGAAGTGACCACAGGTCTTTTAGAGTGCTTCTAATCTGGGATTCCTTAATCCCATCTGGCGTGTTAAATATCTCCTCCTATATGAATAATTTCCATATTAGCCTCACATATTTCCAGAGATTGGGACAGCATAAAATATTTATGTCAAGACCGACAGATTTAATGAATTGGCTTATCTTGATTTTTATAAAAATTTTCTCACTGGCCAAAGAGTCTACTTCAAACATTCTGTTTACTCAGAACAGTCCTTCTCCAACACATTTCCTTTGGAACTGAGTTCACATGTGCATCTTGTGCGCATTGTCAGGGTTTTGTGCTCCAGGACCCTAGGAAATGAACTTTTATATGTTACCTTTTAGCTGCCAAGACAGGTCCCTGACACCTGGAGAGATGAGATTTAATGAAAGCTTACATGAAAATGTACCAAGAGCAAGCCAGGCCTGGCCGAAGAGGGCTTAGGACAGCACAGATTCCCAGTCAATTAGCAATAGAAGAGAACTCAGGGGCCGCGGAGCAGGGAGCCATGTTGACCCAGGTCTCACTGGGCTACTCTGTGAAGGGATTTCCCTTTCAAAGTGGTCATTAGGCAAAACATCCTGAAATAAGGATGAAAATGAATATTTATGCTCAAAAGGCGAAAAGATTTTGAAAAGGTCATTGAGTCTTATTCCTTCCTAGAGTGTTTCACAGCTCAGAAAGGAAAGAACATTCAGAGAGGGGGAGGCATCCACTTCCAAAGACAAAAAAATTAAATTTCCACTTTCAGCAGGTGAGAGGGTCTCAGCCACTGAATCACACATTTTTTCACATCCCAATTCCCTACCTCAAAGCTTTCTGGAATCTGTAGACAAGAAGATGAATCTAGGGCATACCATTCCATTCTTTCTATGCTACTGAATTCAATTCAATTTATGTTTATTGAGCACCTATGATCAGCCAGACATAAGATGCAATTTTTTTTTTTTTACCCTCAAAGGATTCACTGTTGAGCAGGAAAAACATGCAAACACATTTTAGTCCAGAGATTAATGCCACAATAGGGGTAAATATAAAGTGTAAAGGGAGCAGAGGAGGAAGGGATTAATCAAGGGGGCAGAGTGGAAGGCTCCCTGGAGGAGGTGATGTTTACCTTACTGGGTTTTAATTGTGATTGGTATTTTATCAGGTGGCAAGGGGAAGAAAGTGTGTTGTGGGCTGTGCAACAGCCCTACACGTGCCTTCTCACCTACCCCTGAATGGCTGGCTGGAGCCCTTCTTAGCAGATTGGTTACTAAAGGGTCCTAAGTATACTGACCATAGACTTTGTTTCCAGGAAGACCTTCATGTGAGTTTTGACACAACTTCCTGTGTAACCTTTAAAAAATTACTTACCTCTGTAAAGCCTTGGATTTCTTTCTTGTACATTGGAGATATGAATAATGACTACCTATAAAGCTGTTCTGAGGGTTAAATGAACTAATGCTTTGCATATGCTTGGTACCTAGTAGCAAACAGTACTGGTTATTTTTGTCCACACCTAAGTTTTATCCTCCAAAAACCTGAACGCAGCCCCCCCCCCCCTTTAGTTTTTACTACAATTCTGCTTAGGTCACTAGAGTGTCATGGATATTAACCTCATTTTCTCTCTTTAGACAAAAACATTGGAGTCAGAATTGGTCAGGCATGAGCAGTGGTGCAACCAGTGGCATTGGTGGCTGAAATAAGAGCAGATGACAAGCAAGTCTGGCTTCATGGGCACGTAACCCGTGTAGTACACAATTCCTCACACTCAGAAGGACCCCACACTTCGTTTCTGCGGTCACTGTCTTGAAATTATTAATTTTTGAAAAGGACCCTATGTTTTCATTTTGCATGAGACTCTGCAAGTTATATAGCTGGTCTTGCTGATGGGATTGTCTTGGGGATGGTTCGTCCCTTCTATGTTATACTCCCCTATTGTGTAGGGACTGTGGGATCACACTCCTTCTTGAGGTCCTTCCTGGTCCAAGTGCTGTGGCATTTCTTCCTCTGGGCCCCTCAAAGTGTCTGGCACAGGTCTGAGACTGGGCAAAACCCCCTCACCCACCAGCTCTACTCTGGGGCATTTACAGCTTTTACCTTGGGGGAGCTCACAGTCTAGAAGGTAGAGACAGTGCATATACACAGCACTACAGGTTGATAGAGCCAGTGCTAGACGCAGAGATACAGATGTTCTGGGATGTGCAGGGTTCCTATTTATTGAACATTTATGACCTTTGCATGTGGGCTTTTTCTCTGTCTTCTTGGCTGAAAGAGTCCTTTTCCTCCTGATTTATTTCCCTGAATGAGGATCCAAGGAAGGGAAGTTTTGATAGTGTGATTCTTGAAAACTCAAAAAGGCACAGTACTCGGACTTGCCCTGGTAGAGGCTCCTGCTGCTGAGATCTTACAGCGGCTTCTGAAAGCTCCAGCCCACCAGCCTGCAAACGGCAGCTGGTAACCGCAGTCTGGCACACAGGCACCTGGAGCCAACGGGGTGGGGCCTTCATCATTAGGTCCCTTAACATATTTTCTAATAACATGCTCCTGGGTAATCTTATCCTTTCCAAAATAAGAATATCTCCCTTGTCACTTGGAAATGCCTTGAATGTTACCATTGCTAGAGGTGAAAGGTTCTAGAGAGAAATATGCATTCAGTGCTCTCAATTATAAAATGTTTTTATTGGTCACCCAAGGAGATGAATTGTGGGAGATTTAGACTTTACCTCCCCCCTACCCTCTTCTGACAAAGAATTATAAACAAAGGTCTAGACAGGAAGGTGGCCCCAATACAAAAACTCTTATCTCTTCATACCGAGGTCCATTAAGGCAGAACTCATGCCTATTGAACTTTGTCTCTGCCAGGCCCAGCACAGTGCCTGACACTTGGTAAGGGCTCAAACAACAACTGTTGAAATGGAATAGAATAATAATGGAGTTGAATTAAATGCTTTTAGAAACATGAGTATCAAAAAGAAATTTTGAGGTCTGGCTAGTGTGGCTCAGTGGTTGACCATCGACCTATGAACCAGAAGGTGGGCTCAATCCCCAGTGTGGGGTGTGCAGGAGGCAGCTGGTCAGTGATTCTTTCTCACCATTGATGTTACTATCTCTCTCTCCCTCTCCCTTCCTCTCTGAAATCAATAAAAAATTTTTTTTAATAAAAGCAATTTTGAGAGGTATTCTGTAGCTTAAGCTCCTGAAAAGTAGTAAACCATGCCAAGCTCCTGGTCAGCTCAGGGTCCTGGAGCACCAGGATCCTGTTGTACGGCATTAACACCAAGGTTAGACCTCCCGGATGCCAAGCAGTTGGATGAACTGGTTTCGGCTTTCCCTGAGTTGGCCAGTTGTGTGCTGTTCTTGTGAAGAGAATCTCAGAGCGCTCCAGTTTCTCTTCAGTCTCACAAACTGAGGCCCGAGCCCCTCTCCAGATTATTTCCCAACTGGCTTGACTCAATGTGTTGCATTATTCTATGTAACCTAATACCTTTTCCAGGCAGGAACAACAGACCTGGTCTCACTTGCAGCCAAGGCATGAATATGCACGTCTCTAACAGAACACAGTGCTCTTTCAGAGCCAAATCCCACCTTCGGAGGGTGACACTGCTCCTTTGGAAGTCACCTGGAGCTGGGAGCCCATCTCCACAGACATCAGTCTGGCCTTTGATTCCAGTCATGTTCTCCAGCAGCTGAGAAGCATTGAAGGTGAGAGGAGCTCCCGGGAGCTGAACCTCTGCCCCTTATTTCCTTATGAGAAGGTCTAGCAATTCTCATAGCATAACACCTCGCATTTGTTTTATTTAATGAAGAGAGACAGAGAGAGAAAGAAAAACCAAGTACAAGAGAATGCATTTGTAAAAGAAAATCTTTGTAGTTGAAGCTCTGAGATCAGACTCCTACCCTGGGTGTCTTTTTCCTCATTTGTATATCGAATAACAACTTGTTGTTGATGAGATGACCAGCGTTCATTATTATTATATGTCAGCCACATAGCACCAGCTATGTGCAAAGTTACTTACAACCATGCTTAATGATTTATTAAAGAGAAAGTAATTCTTTGAAGAGAACTGACTTTTCATTTTGGGTGTTTTTGTCTACTGCTTTCTAGTTCACGTAACTCAGGAAGCAAGAATGAATGGCTCATTTTCACTCCTAAATTTGAGCACCTTTATACACAACCTCCAAATTTTAGGATTTAACACTTTGGTGAACAATAAAAGACAGATACAGTTTTTGTGAAAAATATTTAGCCTTTCATAAAAATATCCCTTCTGCAGTACTTGTAATTTTGCTACAGAGAGTTTAAATTAGAAAAAAAGGAAATAGCTTAGAAGGAAGAAGAGACTGATTTGGATTTAAAGGAAATGTCACCTCGATTGCCACTGTCTGAATACTGGCTCTCTTTGTTTGGTGTAGGCAACTAGAATAACTTCCTCTGTCTCTCCCTTCCACAGTTCACCTCCCATAGTAATCGTCGGTCCACGTGATCATGTTGCCCCTTGGTTGAACTTGTAGATAACCTCTTGCTTTCCATTGCTACCCAGTAGACACAAAGTAAACTTGAGTTGAATTTGTTTGTTGAAATTCTCATTTACAATACCACTAGGCCATAGGAAAGGAGTCAGGAGGGAGAGAGAGTTTTGATTGATTACTAATGAGGTAGATTTTTTCCCCCTAAGTTTATAGTTTATTGAAGTTATGTGTGTAAATTTCCTGTTTATGTCCCTCATTTGTTTTTCTGATGTGGTCAAGATACACTATTTAAACTAGTCTCATATTCTTTTCTATAAACCTTGCCTTTTCTTCCTGCCCCATATCTAAAGTGGGCCTTAGCGGTACTACCCTTGTCTAGGCATTAAGTTTCACCAGTGTGGTCTCACGCACGGGCTTTAAATGAACTCCTTCATTAAGGAGGCCTAAGCTTTGTGCCCTGGAGTGAGCATTCTTCCCTCTGTTGGGAATCCTTTCCCAGGTCCTCACTGCCGATTTTCCGATCTGCTCTACATGAAGCTGGTAAGGAAGGACTAGAAAAGGATTGATGATCAACAAATGCATTAAAAAGCACTTACTGCACACTCTCTTATCATTGGGCAACTTGTGGAGAAGACCTGGCCCTGCCACCCAGGAGCTGTGCCGGGTTGGGTGTTTGAGCCATAGAGACACCATACTTAAGTTATGAAGTAATAGGAGGCCATAGTAGTTAGTAGTTTGAGGGAATGGTTCAGATAATAAGCGCTACAGGAATTGAAGAAAGGACAGAGCTATGGAGACGTACAGAATGAGGAAGTATTGCTAGAGAAAATGGGACTTGACTTGGGATTTGAAGAGTGGTTAGTTTGAGTTATAAAGATGCTCCAGTAAAGAAGATCAAAGTCTGAAATGGGGATTCTGTTGAGAGAATTGGGGGGAGGGGGCGTGTAAAATGGATTCATTGGACAGGCGTGGTTCTTTTGTGGCCTTGGGGCCAGGTGAAGCCTGGGCTCTGGGCTGGGGGCCTGCTAGTGGTTTCCCAGAAAAGCTGGCAGGAGATGTGTTTCAGGAGGATGACTCTGCTGACATCATGGTGGAAGAAACGAGGAAGGGCCTTGAGCGGGTAGATCCCTTGCCTGTCTGTGCTCAGGAGTCTAGTCAGGGTGTCAGAGAAGGGCTTCATCTGAGGAGGGCAGTCCGATAGACAGGCTTGGCCAGATATGGGACTTGATAACTGACTGGACATAGGTCAGAAGTTTAAAACGCGACTCTCTGGTGGGGTCTCTGACAATGGCCTATAAAATGGGAGGGAACTCTGTTTCTACTGTTTGGTAAAACAACAAAGGGCTGTAATACTGGTCCTCTGAGTGTTGGGGCTTCTGGCTCTCAGCCACTTCCCTCCTTTCATGATCACCTAGGGACTGTCTTGCTGTTTGGTGCCACCCTGGGCTATGGGAGATTTCACAAGGCCATCAAAGGGCCTGCCACTTATATGCCACTCCTGAACACACGAATTCATTCTGCTGTTCCCACACTTTTCCGGGAGCTGGGCGTGTGTTGATGGGCTTGGGTCTGTGGCCACCTCTTCCCAGAGCATGGGGAATTCTGCTGTCTTCCTGGGGCTCTGTTCAGGAGCTGAGGTTCTCTTGGCTCTCAAAATTTTCCAGCCTATCATATTTCACACCCTCCCCCAACACACACACACACAGACACACATACAGACAGACACACATACACACACACACACACACACACAGACAGACACACACACACACACACACACACACACACACACACACACACACACGCGCGCGCTCTTTACTTCTCTACATCTCCTTCAGCTCTTCCTTTTCCTAGGCAAGGGGATCTTTACCTAATCTTGGGGTAGCAAATGTTGGGGAGGCTTTGCTCTTCCTCACATGCATCTTTCCAATTTGTCCATGTCAGGACTGAGGCATTTGAAGCCAAGAAGTGGCTCCTGTGTCTTTTCTATTTTATGTTGTGTCGTCTCTTCCCTGAGGTAATATTACATCAGGAAGAGTGGAAGTAATAAATATTAGGACAAAATCCTGGCTAATAATTTAATATCTGAAACAAATTTGGGGATAGGAGTGTATCCTGCTATTTTATTTAATATTGTGTGTTTACCATTTTTGTGTCTCATTTAATATTTTTCAAAAATGTGGATTTTAGGGGCTGCATCATTTATTTAACTACCATTCTATTGTTGGAATGCACTGCGTCTTAGTCTGCTTGGGCTGCTATAACAAAATACCACAGAATGGGTAGCTTATAAACAGCAGAAATTTATTGCTCACAGCTCTGGAGGCTGGAAATCTGAAATTAGGGTGCTGGCATGGTGGGGGGAGGCTCCTCTTCTAGTTGCAGACTTATTGTATCCTCACCTGGTAGAAGGAGGCTAGGGAGCCCTCTGGAGCTTCTTTTAAAAGAGCTCTAATCCTTTTCATGAGGGCTCATGACCTAATTACCTCCCAAAGGCCCCACCTGTTAATACTATCACCTTTGGGGGTTAGGATTTCAACATAAAATTTCGTGGAGACACAAACACTGACCATAGCACATTGTTTCCAAGATTCATTTATTTTTTCAGTTTTAAATTAGCTTAGCAATACAAAACATTGTAAGTCTTTGACTACATTTCTCTTTATTTCCTTATTATAAATTCCTAAAGAGGAATTACCGAGTCAAAGCACATGAACATTTGAAGGACTTTTGATAATTGTGTCCAAATTGCCCTCCAGCCAAATTGTTCCAAATGCTCTGAACTGTGGAACCTACTTATTTATACTGTCAGCAGCCTTATTATATTGAGAGGCATCAATTATAGACTCTTCTTCATCTTGAGATCCCATCTTTCTGTGTAGTTTTGAGGTTGAATGTTTCCATTTGTAGTGAGGTCAAATAACAAAAGGTATTTTGGAAGCTTTCTGCAGAAGTGGGACTGGTGTGGGTTTGTAAAGAAAAGGGGAAAGGCCTTGTAATCTTGGGCAGGGCTTACCGTCTGTGCCCAGGAAGGCAGGTGGGAGTGTGCAATGAGGAATGAGAAAATGGGAGCTCAGGCAGGATGGTAGGATGGAGGATCTTCCTGGGAGGAGGGGAATGGAGGCAGGGCATCCAGGTGCCACCTAATCTTTCAACTACTCATGAACCTCAGTGTAGTCACACTCACTTGTATTTTGCAGCCACCATACTATAAGGCATATAAGAAAACCTCCCTATGTGTTTTCTAAGTAAACTAGAAGTCAGGAAAACTGTAAGGCTGACATACAGCACATTCTAAGTGGGACCTACTTGCTGGCTAAGCAGTAGATCAGCACAAATTATGAGCATTTAGACATGTGTTAACCTACTAATTGAGGGTAGGGGGACATTAGATGATGTGTTCTCTCTAGATGCCCTTGATCTTACCCTCCTGATTCCTGAAATACCAATTAACACTCTCAGTCAATACTAGAAAACATATGGTGAGGATAAACACTACCCCATAAAAATATCTCACCCTGGCTTGTCACAGGACATTAACCGACCCATACTGGCACCCCTAAGGGGGTGGCAGCAGCAAACTGTAATGGAAAAGTTACTATTTTCCTATTTAACTTTCTACTTGAGAAAAAGATCCTTGAATGTCTAAGAACAGTAAAAGAAAGTTTGTGTGCATGTGTGTGTTGGGTCTTGTGCTCTGTCTAATTCTTATCCTCACTCACATGTGATCTGACTGTTGTTGCTTTGATATAAGGGCAGCCTAATTAAAAAGATTGTGAGAGGAGTGAGTACATGATGCATTATGAGAAATCATTCATATAACTTCCCAAATGATGTCTGAAATTTTGCCATTGAGGAGTCATCTTCAGAGAGTGCCTATGTCATGGGAAGACATGGGGAGTCCCTTGGCATGGATTAGTTCATCACTTCACATTCTTTCCTGAAAGGAGAGGTGAAGCCACCTTAAAGGCAGGCGGCTCTGGTGGCACCCTGCGAAGGACAGCAGCACTGGCCCTTTGGCCGAGGCTGTCTGTAGGCAATGCTCTCAAGCCTGAGGGCTTTCTCTGCTCCATCCTGAGACAGTTCCTCCCGGGACTTTGGGACTTTGCTTCTCCTGCTCTTCATGCCTATGGTAGTCAGCATGATTGCCCACGTCCCATTCTCTGGAACCTTTGAGTATGTTAGGTTACATGGCAAAGGGAATTAAAATTACAGGTGGAATTAAGGTTGCA